GTCAATGTCGAGGCACCCTAGATGATCAAATTAGGTTATCTTGGATGCCGTCGACGTTGAGGCACCCTAGATGATCAAATTAGGTTATCTTGGATGCCGTCGATGTCGAGGCACCCTAGATGATCAAATTAGGTTATCTTGGATGCCGTCGACATCGAGGCACCCTAGATGATCAAATTAGGTTATCTTGGATGCCGTCGACGCCGAGGCACCCTAGATGATCAAATTAGGTTATCTTGGATCATAGAAGTAGCCACATTCATCACACTTATTAGCAAACAATAAGAAAATTAGGAGCCACAACCAACCAGAAGCAACACCAAGTTTAGAACATCAACAGCTAACCAGAAACAACACCAAGTTTCCATCACAGCCCAACAATTCCACTAGGTACCTTACATGAAAGTACTCATGACAACCAGAATAAAGATGTTTAGAACATCAACAGCTAACTAGAAGCAACACAAGTTTTCTTCACAGCCCAACAAGTCCACTAAAATGAAAGTACTCATGACAAGTTTAGAACATCACAACCAAAATGCAGATGTTTTGAACATCATCAGCTCAACACAACTTCACCTGCTCCCTTGAGAACAGTTGAACCACTCAGACATCTTAAAGGATGGATTCCTCACTCTTCCACTACCTGCAACTCTTGGGGGGATGAACTTGTTTCTTCCTCTTGGCCCAACAGCAGCTTGAGAATACTACAACAATGCCATGTATGAAATTAATAAACAAAGACAATTAATAAGCAATGCAAGCAATGATTGGAGTAGAGATAGTAGTACCTTTTGCCTGTCAGATATAATAGTGTAGTACGCAAACTTGCCTGACTCACCACCAATGGCATATTTTAATTGAGTAAGAAACCAAGACCAGCTTGCTGTGTTTTCCTTGTCCACTATTGCAAAAGCAATGGGAAATATTTTATTGTTTCCATCTCTTCCAGTGGCAGCCAAGATTTGCTGCCCTGTGGTCAACTTTATGAAGCAACCATCCACACCTATCATACAAGATCACAAGTAGATTACCAACAAATTATTGGGTGTGCACATATAAATGTAGAGTCACTAGTTAATTAGTAGGTGTGCACATACCTATGAATGGTCTGCAACCATTAAGGAAACCCTCTTTGCAAGCATTGAGGCAGATGAACAAGCCATGGAATCTTGGGTTTTTGCTTGGATATAGTTTCAGATGCTTTGTTGTGACAATGCATCTACTTCCTGGATTGGTTTCTAGCACAGCTTCTAGGTAATCCCTTATCCTATGATATTGTGCCTTCTGATCTCCCAGGACTACATTTTTGGCTAGCTTTCTTACCCTATAGGCCATATGTATAGATACCTCTATTCCATGCTTTTGCTTCAAGTTTGAAAATTATAGTATGGACAGGTGTGTTGGGGTCTGTCCTCAACTGTTGCTCACATTCATGTGCCAACCACTTAGCAGTAACTTTTGTGCTCTCTCCTACTACTGGGCAGCTGTGGTGCAAGTTCAGTTTCTTTATACAGAATGTCTTCTCATGTGCTATCTGAGAAGCTGCAATGAAAAATGGACAATTCTCAAATTTGCAGACAACTATAATCCTGTCTGGACAGTTCCTGTGGAAGGCATGGTTCCTATTTTGTGAGATGTGAAAATTAAGAAGTGCCCTCCTGAACTGGGTCACATCTAGGAAACAAAGCTTCTTCATAAATTGCTCTTCTGGGTTCTCCCTTTGCTCATCATACCAAACTCTAGGCTTCTTCTTTTTAGCCCTGCTCTTCCTATCAGCTGGAAGCTTCACACATGGTATTTGAGCCCCATCATTATCCTCCTGACTTAGGTCACCAGGGTTGCTCTCCTCATCAGATGAAGGAAACCAATCTTCCTCAATAATCTCATCCAAACTAGCATGAGATCTTGTAGTTGGCCCCTTTCTTTTACTTCCTCTGCTACTTCCTCCTATGCTGCTCCCTTCCTCCTCCTCTGGTGCCTTCTCCTCCTCCTCCTCCTCCTCATCTGCTTCATATGGCTCATCCACATCAGTGTCCCCTTCAATATGATGAAGTGGATCATCTCTATGCTTCTTCATTGCCTCAAGCCTAGCAATTATATCCTCATCTGCTAGTAAATCTGTGTCACTGTCACTATCAGTGAAATCTTCAGCCATTAGCTCTGGAAGTTTTCTTTTAGCTGCCTTGTATTTCTCTTTTTCTTTCCCCTTTTTCCTGAACTTCTCAATCTCTTCAGTCCTCTTCTGCTCCATCAGTTGCTCAATTTGCTCTTGATCTTGGTCTTGCTCCATGAAATACTCATGCCTCTCTTCACCAATCTCCATTGCAAATGCTGGTACTGGTGCACACTTCTGCTTCAAAAATGAACTCTCCTGTGTGTTAATGACCTGCACTGGCACTGGTTGTGGCTTTGTTGGGCTAGGAAATAGTACTCCTGTTGTATCTATCTCATACACCACTGGCACACCTATTTCAGATAATGGAACCTGCTCCTCACAAACTGGTCCAATGTTCAAATCACTAGGTCTTGGAGCATCACTTCTGATGACTGTTATGTTCACCACCTTCCGACCTTTGATAACTAGGTCATCCAACATTTCCTCCACCTTATCATCATCTGTCAGTTCTTCCATACCTGAAACCCCAACACCTGGATCTCTGACATAATACATAAAGTCTGTCATCCCATAACCTTCAAGCTCTATTAGTGCAATCAGATTGTAGAATGTGATATCATCCACATTTAGGCTTCTTTCAAGATTATCTCTGTCATGGAAATGGAATCTGACTTCCCACACTTCATCATTCAATCTAGAGTTCAAGTAAAGAAATTCAGTTCAAGTAAACAATTCAGTTAAAAGTTAAAGATTCAGTTAAAAATATAGTTTCAGTTAAAAATTCAGTTAAAAGTTAAAGATTCAGTTATATATTCAGTTAGTAGAAACAATTCAGTTAATGTTTCACTTAAAGATTTAACTAAAGTTTCAGTTAAAAATACAGTTTAAGTTAAAATTACAGTTTCAGTTAAAATTTCAGTTAAAAGTTAAAGATTCAGTTATATATTCAGTTAGTAGAAACAATTCAGTTAATGTTTCACTTAAAGATTTAACTAAAGTTTCAGTTAAAAATACAGTTTAAGTTAAAATTACAATTTCAGTTAAAAATTCAGTTAAAAGTTAAAGATTCAGTTATATATTCAGTTAGTACAAACAATTCAGTTAATGTTTCACTTAAAGATTTAACTAAAGTTTCAGTTAAAAATACAGTTTAAGTTAAAATTACAGTTTCAGTTAAAAATTCAGTTAAAGTTTCAGTCCAAAATACAGTTAAAGTAATTTGTTCACTTAACAATTCAGTACAGGATTCAGTTATAAATTCAGTAACATTTTCATTTAAATATTCAGTTGTAAATTCAGTAATTGAGTAGGTTGAAATTGAGTTGAACATTCAGTAATTTCATGTAATTGAGTAGGTTCAAATTGAGTTTAACAATCAGTAATTTCAGTTAATGTTTAGGTGCCTACTACATACAGTTAGAACCCTAGAACTACGTAAACACTTCACTTACATGTCTGACCACATAAACAACCTACAACAATAATCCTATAACACTAGAATCACAAACACTTAAAACCCTAACCCTAGAAACCAAATCCGGGTACGGAAAGAGAAAACTTACGAGACACCGCCGAAGGAGGATGTGTAGTGATGGCTCCCCTCTGGATCTTCCTTCACGGCCTTGGCGAACGCCCTCGCCGCCGCGTACTCGACACAGTAAGACGGCGACGGCGGCTGTGGAAGAGGCGGAGCCTGAGATGGGTTTGAACTGCCGCAAACCTCTATTGGATCTGCAGGAGCACCACTGCCACCAGATGCATCACCAGCACCACCGCCACCGCCATCATCACTGCCACGCGAGGTGGCCATCACCGGCGGTGAGCAAGGGCGAGAGAG